AAATCCACCCATAGAGAAAGTTCTATTGAAACTATCAGTAGATCAGCTTGCTTGTAACTTGCAGGACTTCACATCAGCATCATTGCTCTTGTATTAAGCAATTATTTCAATATATGCTCTTTCATGGTGATTGTTTGGTGCTTAATTGAATACTTCCCATTAGCTCTCTTTTCTCAGATTGATTTCTGTACTTCCTTAGCATAATGAATACAGAGATTTGCAAGAACAAAAAGTGCTACTACCCTATTAGCCATACCAGGAAAATAAATTGACACATTTCTCCAATTAAACATGCTGGGTTTTTTTAAAGTTCTTTGAGAAATTTCTTGCTTCTTACACACCAGATAACAAAATCTTTTAATGCCATAATCTCTTCGTAATGTAGGATCTTTCTAGGTCTGAGGCTTGACTGTCTTATGTTTTCAAAGCATGAGTTACAAGAAAGGGACATTCTTTCCAAAAGACACAGATCTTTGAGTAGTGTCCCTATGGATGCTCCATGTCAAGCGTGTATTTGCTTTCGATTGGAGGTTTTTGGTAGTAATGTCCGTTTGGTGCACTCGTGCACCCTACTCATCCTCATGCCATGCAACAAGGCTACATAGGGCTGCATGGATGAATCCCTCTCAGTGCCTTCTCAACCACCTTGGCCTGAGACAGCACATCTAGCATGCCCACTTCAGTCAGTCAAGCTTGCCTCAACTAGTCTTTAGTTAGTTGTTAGTTTTATTAGTTTAGTGTTTAGTATTGTTGAATTTGTTGGTTTTTGTAAGAGGATTGTGCCTTGTCTTTATTCCCCTCCCCTTTCTTGGAGGTTCTCTCTCAGCTTGGAGATATGCCAAGATCAGCAGGGTTCTGATATTGTCTCACTTGCTGAGAAGTGATCCTGGTCAGTGACTGGCATTCCTGGTATGTTCGTTCTCTAGGAGAAACATATGTTCCACAGAAGTACAATTTCTGTTTAGCCCTGAAAAGCAGGGCCAGGAAGAAAAGGGAGAGTAAGATGAGGAGGTTTTATGATGGAGTGCTTCCTCTACCTCACCTCAGACCCAGGGCAGGAGATTTCCCCTCCTCCCTCCCACGCTCACACACCAGTCTCTGAGCAAACATAGAACCCTGTTAGCCTCAGCCCAATGTTCATCTCGACCGTCCATACTAAAGTGACCCTTTGCATTATCTGGATACGTAAAAATTAGGATTAGAATTTGGTAATGGGTCAGATATATACCAGGTTTTTATTTTACCTGGAGCAGTGCTTAGTATCAGAATGTTTGTTATGGACTTATATACATTAACTTTCAAATAATATTCTTAAATAATATAAAAATAATATATTTTTTGTGCAATTGATATTTATTATCTTTTTTGTTAATGAGCTGGCAACTACAGTACCACTTAAAAAGTCACTATTTGCTGTTTGGCAGTATTTTCAGTTCATCATGGCGTTTGTTCCAGTGCTGTTCCACTATTCATAGAATCCCTTTTCAAGCACTTGTGGATACAGATGGTTGAAATACCATGTAAAATTCTTCTCTTAGATCCTCCTGAAAGCAAATAGCTCCTTATATGTGCAGTACTCCCATTTGGTCTGAAAGTATGGGATTTGTCTCTTAGAATTGGACATGTGTTGTAATCCCATTTCCATGCAAGAACCTTAACATGGTGCTATTCCCTTCCATTTGCTTCTATCATTATGCATACATAGGTGTATTATTTGTGCTGTACTATAAATTTGGTGATGTTTCTAATGACATTCAGAAATTTTTGCAGTCTTTTAAATGTTGCAGGGTTTCTTTCTTTGTTTCTTTCAGCAGCCCACTTTGATGAATGACAGGTTTTCATTCTTTTTCATATGGGGGAAAAAGCAGCTTTGCTTCCCTTTCTCCTGAGAAATTTTACAAAATATTCCATAAGTCATCTTCGAACCAGGGGTGTTTCCTTCTTTCAAGGTTCTTGGGATCATTTTCTTTTTTCTGAAGTCATGTGCCAACTTGTAAAGATACATAGCAGTCTTCAGATTCTCTTTTGTGTCTTGAAAGTTGATCTAAGAAATATATTTTTCTACGAGATAATAAACTTGTCATCAAAATGTAAAAATTATCTTTCATCCAACCAGAATTTTTTTCTACCAGCTAAGACCCTGATCTTGCAATTGACCGCATGCAGATGCACCACTGTGGTTTCTCTGAGCCCCATTGCAACGGATGGGGTTCTGTCTGGGCGCCTATCTGTGCATGTGTGCTGTCAGTTGCTAGATCAGGGCCTTAAAAAGTAATACATTGCATTTGCCCACCTGCAGTTTTTCTTTTAGAATCTACTAGTAACTGGAAACAATTTACTTTGGGAGAACTCAGTATACGGTTATAATTAACCTAGCGACAGTGACTGTCATTCACAAATCTATTACTTATTTTGTGTACAAGATTGTAAGAGTTTTATAAAAATTAATAAAATCTGTTAGCCTTTAAGGTGTCACCAGACTCCTCGTTGTTTTTATAAAAATATAGCAATTAAAATAAATTGAATGATTTAGCAACAATCAGAGGAAACTTACAACTTACTGATCCAAGATATGTTTATACTTCAAGCACAAATTAACTCTCCCTTACTTGGGATAGACTTCTTTTTATGGTTATTTGTACTGAGTGGTTACTCGTTCACTAGTCAGCCCCAAACATGTTCTAGGTGCTTGATAGACAAGAAGGAGAATTAGTATGAAGAGATTAGTATGGCTTTTTTTATGAACATCAATACAATGAGATATTTTGATGTTCTATATCTGTCTGAGGCTATGCCTACACTTGTGGTGGCATGAAGAGTACAGACTCTGCATGACACCCCAAGCATGGGTATAAATAAGCAGTGCTTCACCATCCACACTGCTAGGTGAGTAGAGCAAAGACATGCCAGAACCTTAGGGTATGTACCCTATATGGCTCTTTACATGCCCGAGCAGTGCCACTCCTGTCTACGCTCTTATATTTTGCATGTAGCGTCCTGCTTCTGGAGCCTTTTCCCGTCACAGAGAAAGGCTTCAGCAGTGGGGAACTGCCAGAGCTTTTTCCCGCTACCTCTCCCCAGCTGGAGCTTTTCACTGCTGCATGTAGCTACATACCACAGTGTGGCTACAGCCTGCTTTCCTATATAAAGTGTAGCTATATGTACCTTACATAATGCTGCCAGTGTAGACAAGGCCTAGGTAATGTAGTTGCTGGTCAACTTTTTGTTGGAAATATACTTCGCTTGAACTTTGAATTGTACTAATTATAGGTTGGTTAACTTATTTTTTTAATAATCTAGTTTCTGTACCAGAGCTTCTCTCTCTTTCTTATATTGTCTTTTCTCTAATGAATTCCTTCCTTCCTTGTTCCGTAGTATCAGTCAATATCCATGTACCCATAGAATGTAAAATCTTGTAGCTGTAAAAGTCTGATATTAAATCATTTGGTCTGGAAATTCAAATGCAGAAGTTGTAATTGAAATGTCTCTAAGGTTCTTTGCAGTTGTGTTAAGTAAACCTTAGTTTTGTTTGTGGAGTTTGGCTTACTTAGAGTTTGCTTATTCTTTAAAGTAAATTATTCCATTCATTGTGAGAATTTGAGTAGTAATCCTGTGACATGATATTTATACAGAAAAGTAAGTATTTGAAAGTCTCTCTAGTGGGAACTATCTGTTCTGTGTTGTAAAATTCCTGTTGTCATTTAGGCTGTTGTGTAAGTATTTCCTTTATAGAAGTGGGGATCCAAAAGAATTTTTACCATGTTTTTTTTTTAAATGATTGCTTTAATCCCACAATTTTACTTTCTTAGCTTGCTGCAGTACAACAAATGAACCTGCTAGCAGCTAATCTAGCATGTGAATTGATATAATTACAAAACCTCCACAACCATGCGAGTTGGTAAAAAGCTAGTTGTCAAAGCAAACATTTTTCTAAATGTTGCTTCAGTTCTGTGGTTATAGGAGAGGAACATACGAAACCTGTAACAGTAGCAGTGTAGATAAAGTTCTCGCAGTCTCCCGAGGTAATGATATCCCATATTTGTTTTCATTCCACAGACATTTGATGTGCCAGGGTCTTGTCTGAATAGAATATACCCACACAGAAAATTGGGATGTTAAATGGTCACAAGTTACGGCATTGCTCCAGTAGCAGATTCTCACCAAGATGATGATGTTCAATAATAATAACAACAACAATACCTAGCTCTCATACAGGAATGCTAGCACTTACATCCAAACAAAAACACAAACTTCTGTGATATCTGTAACTTGTAGTTTTTGTGTCATATGCAAATTTGTGTGTTCTGATTTGTGTTGTCATCCAAGATATTGATGTATGCTGAAGAATACCAGACCCACAATCAACCCCTTAGGGAATTCATACATGTTCCACACACACATGCCATTCCAATGTAACACCATTGATTACTTGTGGCTGGTTATCCCTAGGCAGTATTTTTAGCCACTTAACTGTAATTAATATTTTTCTCCACTGATATTAATTGTGGACACAAAAATTAGAACTGGTCTTTTAAAATGTGGCCCATTTTGTCCTCTAGATTTGTTATACCCCGGCCTATTAGTACATAAAGCTATTTGCTGTGTTTGGCATGGCATCTGTGTCACGTATCTGTGTTGGCGGTAACACTGAAGGTTCCTTTGCTGTATTGGGTAGGTTGTGGCTGGTTCTGGATGGGTATGCAAACTAGGAAAATGTCCGCATTCCTGCACGATCAGCCAACCACAGTTCTTGGGCTCCATCAAGCCTCTTCAGTGTGAACACTTTGCGTTCTGGTGATAAATTATACTTTTTTTTTAAATGCTCTCAAGTTACGTTTAATTGATAAAATCATACTTCTAGTAACCTTTGTTAAATTCAAGATTTTTCATATTGGTAGGAAAATGGATTGTATGTTCACACTGAACACACAAACTTGGGAGAAAGTCTGTAGGACCTTTGCAAAAATAATTAAAATAAATCTTGTTTTTTCTACCAACAGGCATTTATCAGGCCATTTAGAGAGCATCATATTGATCCAACAGCAATAACCAGACATGACTTCATTGAGACCAATGGAGATAACTGTTTGATAAGCATAATTCCACTGGCCTTCATGTTCTATAAATTCCTTTCTCAAACACCAGGTAAGCTTGTGTTTTGTTTTGTTTTTTTCTTGGTGGACAAAGGGGGTGAGCACCTCTGGTCATTGTCAAGGGACTTCTGAGGTCTGGTTCTCTACTGCCTTGCAACTTGTATTGTCATTGACGCCACTGCAAAGTTTTAATGTTTGCAGGTTGGAATTCTCCACTCACTCTGCACAGGTGTAAATGATGAAAAAAGGTATGGGGCAATGGGAAATCAGGCCTGTGGTTTTTACCACTGAGAGAGTCTAAAGGTGAGGATTGTCTTTTTCCAAAGTGCAGTCCCTTGGTCACAAGCTGCGGCAGCTGAAAGTGTGGGCTGGAGGTACGTTTTGTCGTTAATGCTCAGCTTGTCTCTTGCTGTTCCTTTTCCACAGAGTCTGTGCTGAAGTGTACTGACTGCTGTCGCAGGTATAGGCATGGAGCAAGGAGAATCTTGATCCAAGGGTCATGAGCTAAGTGAGCCTGGGAAAGTTCAGGTTTTGCAGGCAGCCACACAGATTGGTAAATTTGAAGAATCTGAAACCAATCTCATTCCTTTGCTTTGTGCTCCAGGGACTGAGTCTTGGAGTGCCAGACTCTTCTGGGAATCAGTCTGCTCTCTCCTCCTCTCCACACTTCAGGGAGAAGGACTACAGCAGTGCAGACTGCTTCTTAACTAACCACATCTCTATGTCGCAAGAGCTCCTTACCACCTAGGCTTCAAGGACCTGGTGTCCAAGACTGTGGCTGTCCTGGGCCAGTGTCTGAGAATCTCCTCCCTTTAGTCTGCAACCCGGTGGTGAGTCTTTGCTTGGCCAGTTGATGCAAGTTGCAGTGGAATATCACAGCATTCTCTGCTGAACTGAACTCTGTGTTCAGGGTTATTTGGTTTAGGTCTGAAAGGCTGGGGTGTGGCTAGCCTGAATTTCCACTCACATGTTCACCTGGCCCTGCTAATAATGAGCTGAATTTCATATTGCCTGTACTGCACAGCCAGCTTGCTGCACAGAATCTTAACAGCCTTAATAATTCCCCTAACCATCCAATTAGACTAATAATAAAGGCTTAATTACATATCCAGTTAATCATCAGATTTGTTCATGGAACAGCTTTAATTGGTAGATACAGCTGTTACAATTTTCCAGTTTGAAAGCTATCACCCATTTTTGCTCACAGCTATATTCACCCAACTGTTTTTATTATTGGGACTTGACTGGCATTATTAAGACAATAAAAAGGCTCAGGAACTAAGAAACCTAACTATCCACTGCTATTGCAGCACCCTTCTACCAAACGCTGCCTGGGTTCAAGCCTGACCCTCAGGTTTATAGTGCTTTGTACTGCACATGTTGAAGGAACTCCAAATAGCAAATGGCTTCTTTATAGGTTTCCAAAAATGAAGCTGTTCTGTATTCTGCCCAAGTGGTTCCCACAAAATGATTGTTAAAGACTTTGGGACCTGGAAGCTTCTTGGCTTTGTGTGATTCAATAATGCACTACCTAAGCCATTTTGTAATAGATCCTTCAGTAGCCCTGAGTCTTTTCTTATTATGGAAACATATAAATTGGCTCATCCTGTAAAACCCTTCAGTTTTAAAATGTAAAACCTAATTGCCTTATGGACATTCAAAGAATGGAGGTGCTTCTCTGGGGAGGTTTTGCACTGAACCAAAAGATGACAGAACTAGTTACTGATTAAAAAGAATGGAAGAATTAACCTCTTGATGCCAGTTGTCAGGCTTCCCCCCACATTCATATTTTCTATGCAGCTTTAATTGCTATTCTTTTTTTACACCACAAAGATCTGTTTTTGTTTTCTTTGGGGTTCAGTGGGGTAACTGCTTACAGCAACCTCGTTGTCTTAATCAGTTTTTCCTTTGTGCTTTTTAATCAAGTGACCTGTCCAACTGAGACTAGCATTCCCTCATTTAATAAACCTCCTGATATCCCTTCTGTGCTTAGAAGACCCATGTGTAAGGTTCAGGCTCTGCTGACAATATTGGTCTTTGCTGTATGTGTCTCTTTGAAATCACCTTAATTTAAAAAATAAAATAAAACCTTCCACTTCCAGTGTGTCCAGAATAATGAATCCACTTTAACATAAATAATTTTCTATCAAAGCCTAAGAAATGGCCGTATTTTTAGGAAGCATTACACCCTAGGGAAGTAAATGACATATAAAAATGAACTTTCAAAGTGTTGGTCTATAGAAAAAGGAGCAGTGTGTGATGGCAAAAAATGAATTTCTGTGAATTAGCACAACTCATTATTCGTGCTATACACACCTTACTGTCTTATATTCCCTGTACTTAGCTGGAATATAAAATTAAAAAACTGCAGCCCTTCTCCCTGGCCCTCAGTGGCGGTCTCTCTGATTGGATGCCACCTACAGCATGGCAGAGAGCATCAAGAAGCTAGAAGCTGGGAAACATGCAGTGTAACCGTTTCTTAAAGTGCATATCACAAGTTAGCTTTATATATATTTTGTTAATGTATTCTAGGTTTAACAGACCCTTCAGTTCCCACTAACAACTCATTTAAGAGGGGGAAGAAACATGCAGATCAAGAGCACTTTGACAAAATGTGGTGCCGTAGCTGAATCCTTTAAAAAAAATGGAATAAAAGATTTCATAAAATACACAGGTGGATAACTTTTCAAGTGAGAGGAATGATAGTACCTTGAGAATTATGTCCTATATAATGCTTAAATTCAAAGCTTTTTGTGGCAGGGGCTTTCTGGATTTTGTCTATCTAGTACAGCGCCAAGCATATTGCATTTAACAAATAATAAACGTAGTGTGTAGATTTCCTATTAATTTTCCTTCAAATAATTTGCAGAGCTCTCCATAGTGTGCTTATATTCCTGCCACAGCAACATTAACTTCCGTAATCTGCGGTCAGGGAGACAGACACTAACTGAATAATCAATTCACCTCTCTGTTCATCAGCACTGTATTTTAGAATGTACATATGCAAACCAGATGTAGGTAATTTGGTCTATGGCTTGCTCCTGCAAAGTGTTGAGCACTCTTGCAAGGTGCGGAGTACCCATAACTAACCCTGGCCTTAATAAGAGAATCTGGTCATGGCATGCAATCTTCATTTTCTCCCCAAGTGTCCGGTACATAGCAGTCATGGGTATTCTTGTTGGCCACTTCAGAAGATTTTTGACAATGTCCGTCTTTTGCCATGTTTTAGCTAGCTGATGGTATCTGAGCAGCTGCAGCTCCAAGTGGAAGAGTTAACTGCTGAAAATCTTGGATTCACATTTATGCAGTTTCTCTGTCATGGGGCTGCAGGCAACAATGTTAGGAACATATACCAGTCATTAAAAATCTTCCTAACATCTCATGTTAATTTGTTGATAAACCAGTCCAAAGGCTGAAAAAGGGACAGTGTGAAATGAGTGCAAATAAAGAAGAGACATTTAACCTCACATTCCACAAGGGATATTTAATAGAGATGAACTTGAACTAAAACATCAGATCCAAACTCCCTCAAACTCTGGGGAAGTGCAGCTCTAGATCAAAACTTGGCAGTTCAGGCTCAGCTCTTTAGCTTAAGGAAATGTTAGAAAAGCCGTAGAAACTTTGGGAAGAACCTGTCAAGTTTTGGGGCATTTTTTGGTAACCAAAATAAATCACTCTCCTTTCCGTTTTTAGTGCAAATGAAAAGAGCCGTGTGTGCAGTATGTTATGGATGCTGAGCCTACTGGACCTTTAAGAACCCCAGATCTCACCTCCTTTTTATGTTTTGCCTTGTGATTGAGGAAGTAGATGAGACTAGAACTTCCTCACCATTAGAATATTAAAAATCCCCACTAAGGATCTATGGTTTTATGACCCTCTGTGTTACTTCAGTATTATCATTGAATTCTGTAGGGCTTAACATGAAGCCCAGTTTTTAACTCCATGATCCTCAATGAAGGCTACTCAACTTTTTGTCCTTACCCATCATTTACAGGGATAATTTTTGTCTATTTAATTTTTAAATAGAATCTATTTTTTTTAAATCAAGCACTTAGAGTTAATTGGTTTGGAATTTAGCACATTGTTTTTATATCTGCTACACACTGTTCATTGTGACTACCAAACCATCAGGCTGAGATTCCTTGATTTATCCCTGCCATTATGCAGTATAGTACCTGGCTTACAACCATATCAGGAATCTTTTTTGGTTTATGGTGGTTCATTAAGTGCCTACAATTAAGCATCTGTTCAAACTAAAATGTTAAATTTTTATGACATTTGGGTTCAGCACAAATGTCATATTTCAGTACTTGGCTCTTAAATACTTTATTTATTGTGACTTCCTAAATTTACCTTTTTATCCCCTTTTTCCGTAGTTACTCTGTTGTTCGCTCTCACTTTTCCAAAGTTGTCCGCCACTCTGCCCTGCCTCCCTGACCCATCGCATTTTCTTGCCCCCTGCCTCTTCTGTTTCCTTCTCCCAGCTGCACCTCTTTCCTATGCATGAAACATGCTTTCTGAATCCACCATTTAATTTCCCCTGCCCCCATTTACGTGAACTCACTTCTGCCTTATCACCCATAGGTGTGGTAATTAAAAAAAAAAACCAAACATATCGCACGGAATATGACAAGATGTGCATGTGCCAGAATGAAGTTGCCTTGTGATCCTATAACTATGATTCTTCCCTGCCTCTTCTCTTCCACCTGAACCCTCCCCTTCTCTCCTCCCCCCCCCCTTGTTGTCTGTCCCTGTCTTGTCAGTATTTAACATGTTAGCTCTTTGGGGCAGGGAACAGGTGTTTTAATACATTTCTGTACAGCATCTGGCAGGCTTTGGGCACTGTAAGTACAGGGGAACACCCAGGGTCAGTCTAGTAAAGGGAGTCTGATGGGCTCAAAATGTTCTCTCACTCTTTGTGACCAAGCTCTACTCTGCACAGAACCCAGGGGAGGCAGGATATAGATGCAAAGGTGTCTTTATGCCACTTTTCGAACTCCCTGGATTTAGGAGGTAATTAAAACTGCCACTGACTGGTTTAACTTGTGCCTA